CTGTCTCAGCGATTATTTCTGAGCAAGCTGTTGATTTAATACTACATGAAGAGGGCAAGACTAATATTCGTTCAGTAACTGTGATGCAAATTAACTGCATCTTTCTGAAAGTCTACTGATTGCAGACCATCTCTTGTTTTATTCGAGCAATTGATATCCTGGTTACATTACCAAGCTGGGTTTTCAGCTCATTTGCTTATGCCTACTGGACCCACTGGCAGCAACAAGAAAAGCTTATCCATTCAAATCGTCTGGCAAGGTTCTGACTCACGGGATTTCTCGTTGTGTGAATTTTGTACAATACTGTACACTGAACAGAACTGTAAAAAGGCTTCTTTACTCATAGCATGTTTTCTTTATGTCTGTATTTGCTAAGATCTGAGTTTCTGTTGCCATGCAAATATGTAACATGGTACAAATAGCACTGGGTTCTCATCAATAATCCACATGCAACAAGATAATGAAAACAGAGGTTTCATGGCTGCGAGCTCCCAGCATTCAATCTACCTGTGTGAGAATGCCACAAGCACAGGGATGCAGAGAAAACCAGATCAATACCACCCAAGCTGCTACCCCTCTGCTTCAAGGCAGAAAGAGCAGGGCAGGCATCTGGGTTGGGAAAGCCTCTAGAGTGCACAGGTCCAAGTGGATTCCTGGGTTCTTAAAGCACCTAATCACAGTGCATGCAATTAATGGTGTTTTTGTAACAGAAGTCCTTCCATTTATTTTTTCTCACCTACCAAATGAAAAAGACAGAGAATTTTTTCCTGCCTTCAGCCAATCTCTGGAGTGAGGCAGATTTTCAGATTTTTTCTCAGGCATTCAGATGTCACACTGCCAGCCCCACGGCACTGCACTGCTCAAGAGAGGCTGAGGGCAGAAGACATGCAGGAGAAGAAAGAAAAACAGCATCTGAAGCACGAGGAGGTAGAGAGACTTGAGATGGGGCATGCAAGGATTTCCTTTTTCAGGATCAATTTGGATCTTGCCCATCTCTTACCCAGCTCTGGAATTTGTGCACTGTGGGAGTGCAGGAGTCTGATGGGACAAGTTTTCAGATGGATGTATCACTTGGTGGGAAGGGAGAGCTAGAGCCACAGCTGAGATGTCTGCTGTGGAACAGGAAAGTAATTTGTGAGCTACAAAAGATACCTATGCTGATAGAGAATGCAAACAGGGAAAAGGTCACACAAAGAAAGAGAAACAGATTTGTCTGAGGCAGCTCATCTGGTTACATGAATGTGCCTCCTGCACTGACAAGCTCGTTGGTGCAGTGTTCACCTGTACTAATGACATGGCAGTGGGAGGTGGCATTTTGCTCTGAGGGCAACTTCAAAAGGAGGAAAATGTTCATCTTTTTCTATTTCAGTTACAGAAACAGCTTAGAAAACACACAAAAAGGATCAGATTTCCACTGGAGAAAGAACAACTCTGTGATGCCTGGACAAGCAAAGAATCCATTGGAAAAATGCATTCCTTTTGTACTGCCACAAAAAGGCTGCATGCTGGGGCCTGGATCACAGACTGGCACCGGGAGAAGACGTCTGCTGCCTGCTTGAGCAGTGCACGAGCCATGGGAGCTGATTTACTGCAGTGCATGAAGGCTACTGCTGGATGCCACCTAGCGTGTTCACATGTTATATGAAACAAAGAAACAAATCCCTTTTAAAGACCACACAGTCAATCTGTAGTACAAGGACTAGCAGTTCCTTACAAAACATCGCAAAAATTTTTCTTTTTATAAAAAAGAAAACTAAACAAGCCTATCACTTACATACATAAATTCCAAAGCAGCATACGCCTATTAGCAGGCATAGTCAATGGTCAGCTCTCCTTCTGGAATACAGATATTCACTGGGGTTCAACTCAACACTCAATATTCAAAGTAGTCCCAAGTTTTCATAGAATCATAGAATGGCCTGGGTTGAAAAAGACCACAATGATCACCTAGTTTCAACCCCTTGCTATGTGCAGGGTCGCCGACCACCAGATTAGGCTTCCCAGAGCCACATCCAGTCTGGCCTTGAATGCCTCCAGGGATGGCATCTCTCAGCTTTCTTCATGGTAGAGATGCTCCAGTCCTCTGATCATCTTAGTGGCCCTCCTCTGGACCACTCCAAAAGCTCCATATCCTGGGGCCCCAGGCCTGGATGCAGTACTGCAGATGGGGCCTCACAAGAGCCGAGTAGAGGGGGACAATCACCTCCCTCTGTCTGCTGGCCACCCCTTTTTTAAGGCAGCCCAGAACACAGTTGGCCTTCTGGGCTGCGAGCTCACACTGCTGGCTCATGTCCAGCCTCTCATCCAATGGAAGTCCCAAGTCCTCCTGTGCAGGGCTGCTCCCAAGGAGATCTTCCTCCAGTTTGTATAAATGCTTGGGATTGCCCGGGCTGGAGTGCAACACCTTGCTGAATCTCATTATGTTTTCACAGGCCCACTTCTCCAGCCTGTGCAGGTCCCTCTGGATGGCTTCCCTTCTCTCCACTGTACCAACTGCACCTCTCAGCTTGGTGTCGTCTGCAAACTTGCTGAGGGTGCACTTGATGCCATCATCTGTGTCACTGATGAAGATGTTGAAGAGCACCCGTTTCAAGATCAATCTTTGAGGGACTTGTGACCAACCTCCACCCAAACATAGAACCATTGATCACAACCTTTTGGCTGCAATCAGCAAACCATTTCTTAATCCACTGAATAGTCCATCTTTCAAATCCATATCTCTCCAATTTAAAGAGAAGGATGTGGTGAGGGACCATGTCAAAGACCTAGCAGAAGTCCAGGTAGATGACATCCAGAACCTTTCCCCATCTACCTATGCCATCACTCCATCATAGAAGACCACCAGATTGGTCAGGCGTGATCTGCCCTTGGTGAAGCCATGCTGGCTGTCTTGAATCACCTCTTCATCTTGTGTGTGCCTTAGCATGGTAACCAGGAGGATCTGCTTTGTGATCTTCCCAGGCAGAGAGGAGAGGCTCACCAGCCTTTAGTTCCCCAGGTCTTCCTTTCTCCCTTTCTTAAAAATGGGAGTAATGCTTCCTTTTTTCCAGTCACTGGGGATTCCACCCGACAGCCATGATTTTTCAAATACGGTGGAGAGCAATAATAACATGAACATAAAATTTCTGGACAAAGGTTCTTTCAAAATTAGTCATCCGTTTAAAAAAAAATTGCGTTGAAAACAAGTAGAAGCTCACTTACTCTGTAAACAAGTTACAGAGACCTATACAAAATAATGATCTTATTGGTTCATTACTTCTGGCTGTGAAACAGCATGGTACAAACACTGTGGAGGAGGAGTAATGCAGAAGGATTCCTTATTTTTGTTTTCCAGACACGTCCTTATACCCTGGTCACCTTCACAGTGTCCAAGAAGCCTCAGAGTCATTGCATCAGGTAGGGTCACATCTCCTGTGCTTGTTCCTTTGCTCTCCCTACAAAGTCACTTATTCGTTGCACGAAAACACAGGGGAATCTCCTCAAAAAGTAGTACAAACAAGTAACAAAATAGCAAATATGGTAAACCCATCATATTACTTGCTTACAATACATACTTCTTGTGTCTTGTTATTCTGCTAAGATAAAAATAAGTTATCCTATTTAATATTATTATAAAAAAGCCTAAAAATTTATTACTAAAAAAGTCTAAAAATTACTAAAAGAGTCCCTTTGGTCTGAATCATTTCAGATTCCGGGGAAAACACAAAACTGTGATTCTGTTTACTTCAGAACATTATGGCTTGGGTAAAGAAAAAAATCTACAATATAAATGTATTTCCCAATGTAATTTCATTAGGTAAAGAAGTGCTTCATATTAAACATTCATCTTTCATCTCACAGTCACAGTTTCAGTAGCACTGATCTCTTTATTCTCCTCTCTTTTTCTTTCCTAGTGAAATTCCATTTCTTAAAATAACAGCCTTCTTTGTAAGATGACTATGTTATCATTACCCCAGTAATCTAACTTTGAGATTTCAGACTATTCATTTTAACACCAATTCCAATCTGCCTTTTGATATTCCTTTCTCCCCTGTTCAAACAGGCTTCTGATTGCCCTGGCTCATCACTGAGGGGGCTGATATGGAAGAAAAACCAGCTGACATCCCACCATGTCATTCAGCAAATCCCATGCTCTTCTCTAGCAGCAGCCAGCACCAAGGAGGTTAGGATATGGTCACATTTCACTGCTAAATTCTCCTAGCCATTATCCAGATACAATTTTTAATCTTTGCATCAAAACAGCAGTTTTGACATGAAAAGAAAAGTTGTAAATCTGTTCAAATCTCAGACCACTCTGCACAAGCATTTTTTCAAAGTAGAGGGGATGCTGTTTTGCTTCTCTATTTGAAGCTGCTGATTTGTCTCTTTATATTGCAGTATGTTTTTCTCCACACGTGATTTACTTTTTCTATTTTAACAGCTGATTATATGTTCTATAGCTATGCCTTCATTTTCATAGTTTCACAGTGATCTGGCTTAATGGGTAACAGGTGTTTTAGTTTCACAAACAACTTTTAATGAGCCTATAGGAGTCCTAGTCAAAGAAGCATTTTCTATTTTTTTCCATTCTGTTTAAAAAAAAAAAAAAGCCAATAGAAACGTATGCTCAGCAGCTCCAATTTAGGTTGCAAGGAAACTTTGTTTGCATTAAAAAAGCATTGTTTACTGGGAATGTGATATGCTCACTGTTCTCTCCTTAAACGAGGCAGGAAAGAGGGAGAAATGCTGCATATTTAAGCACTAGCAGCTTCCTTGTGCTATGCTTTTGTCCCAGTTAGGATTCAGCCTCAGCAGGAGCTTATGTGCAGAGATAGATGATGTATGTTACACTTAAAAAGCTTCCATGCTAGTATTGCTGTCTAGAAGCAAACTTTGTTTTCTGTCTTGCTGTAACTCCCTCTGCCTTTAAAACCTTTCAAACTCTTTCACCAGTATGAACAAGATCAGACGCAGAAAAAAAAAAACTCACTGGATTTATCACCATTGCCACATTTATTGATTTGTCTAACATGCCAAAATAACAAATCAGCATGGTGATAGCATATTTTAGGTTGCAGATTTCAGAGACTCTTGCCATCCATCTCAGCTGTGCACCACCACCGTTTCAGAGAGCAGAGCAGTGAGCACCTGCAAGAGAAGTTCTCGCATGTTGTGCCTTGAATATGTCATGAACACAGTAGCCACTACCAGATAGACATATATGCTTCCATAGCTTATCTTAGAAGCACTTCACAAGTATCATTCATTACGCTTCAGCATGCTGTACTGGAGTGAACCAGTAAAAGAAGGGAGAACCATTACACATCAGAACAAGGGAAGAACACATTACAGAGCATATATATAGCACATTTGGTTGCAGGGTAGGATGCTTCTGGGTTTGGAATTAACTTAAATTTTATTTTATTTTATGTAAGACGCTTGAAATTCTTTCCAGTAGTGTGCTTTCATTGTTAAGACATTAGGACAGCACATCTAGACTACAATACAAGATTCAATTTTGCAAGCCTTTCCTGTCATGAGAACCCATTTTAGGTGTAGAGGAACTCACTCACCTCTGTGCCTGTGTGTTACACTGCCCTGCACAGCTAGCTAGCACAGCACACAGGCCCAGATGGGCAAAGACAGGCAGCAGCCTGTGAGTTGTTGTGCTTTTTGCTGAGACAGTTCTGCACCACTCTGAACACAAACTCATATTTTGCAGCATATTTCAACTCCAACTAGAAAAGGAATATAAAGAAAAGGAAGCCACAACATCAAAACCAGCAAACCTAAGGTAAATAAATTATAGTAAAACACAACAGAGTACATGCAGAAAAATAAATAGAGAATGCATATATCCTTATAAGACTGAACCAAGGAAATGGCTTTTCATTCTTCCCACCCCCCCTTTTTTAATCTTTCAGTTATAGGCTCTAAACTTACAACCTATTTTTGTGAATTCAGCAGACACAGTTGCTATGGAAAATACGTAATGCTCCTCCAGGGTAGGCAGCAGATAAAAGTGAGTGTCACAACTCAAGTCATGGAGGCTCAGTGGGGCAGTGCTTTTCCTCCCTGCCTACCTGAAGAGTATCAGTAATGCTTATGGGCAATGTGCAAATATTAACAAATCAGATGAGAATTTCTGAGCTGGCTGGAAAAGTAAGAACAATACAAATAAGCAGCAGGAGAGGTGAAAAAGCATGCAAATCAATCTATACTTTCCAGTCCGTAGGTCCCAAGCCTCATTACCTTTGAAACTTTAGCTAGTGCTTAAGCAGCACTCTAGTTTCTTTCTCAAAGATGAAGGCAGGGTCTGCCATCCACAATTTAATGAGCATCAAGGAGATCAAAAGAGCCAAGGCAGAGAGATTCCAATTGTCATCTTAAAATAAACTATTTCTGTATTTGTTTATTTATAATTCTTTATCTTCTAATAATTATTTTTATTCCTGTTTTGTACATATATTTGAGGGATGTTTAGAAGAGGATGGCATTACTGCTTTCTAGAGAGATGAGGAAAAATAGTAATGTGCCCTTTATGATCAAAGTAGATTTATATTTATCATATATTGCTTTTCATCTTCAGTACTCTCTGAAAACATGCATGTATTATACCTTAAAACATTCTGTGAGATACATAAGATGAGGTCATATTCATTTTCTATGTGGAAAAAAAACTGTGCCAGGGAGAATTTTACTCATCTGTGCATGAGAGGAGTGACAATTGGTCTGAGGGAAGGAAAGTCCAAGCGGAAAAAATAAGCAGAGCAATGAGAAGCTTGTTTCTTCTATCATTCCCCATCATTTTAATTCTAAAATCTGGAGGGCTAGAGTAGTATCTTTTTTCAGAGGTAGAGAGGTTAAACTGTAAAATATATATAAAAACATGTATGTATACATAAACCTATGAAAAGGAGAGTACACATACCAAAGGAAAAACCTGAATGACATTCCTGTTACAAGAGCAAAACTTGAACAAGCAGTCTAAGTTCAGTCTTCCTGCTGACTAACGGAACAGTCCTAACTAATAGTCACAACATTACTTTTTGTTCTGCAGAACTACTGCTCCCACAGCAGAAGCAATGATTATTCAGCATTCAGTTTATTTTTCACTGTCCAACATATACTTCCATCTTGTTTTTAATGTCAAATAGTTAACTATAGAAACACAAATACCTTTGGGGGTTTCCCCAGGAGGTCCTAGTCTCCGCTAGCTTGAGGAAATGATGTCTGACAGGGTTACACCTTGGGTCAGCAGTCAGAGCTCAGCATTAATAGCTCCAGCACAGACTTCTGTAAAGACAGCGACAAACGTACATCCTGTGACTCAGTCCCTATCGCGGTACAGAAGTGCTTGGTGGCACAACCCTTGGCCTGTCTGCCACTTCTCAAAACAGTTTGGCCACTGTATCCCTAACCTCCCTCTCTGTGAACACCCATGCCTCCCAAAAAGAGGAGCAAACCTAGGATACAAACTTTGTGAAGAAAGAGGTGGCTCATATGATACTTATTCTACCATCTAGAGGGGTTGCACAAAACTTAGGCTGAGGCGCATGTATCAGCTTCAGTCCTAACTCATGTATGGGCTGAATGTTCAAGTGCAAAAATATTCTGAAAAAGAATATGGTTAGCAGCTTTTGCTTCATCTATACAGAAAGACAGAGACTTCTATTGAGCGCAGCCTTGATGAACAAACACAGCACAAATATGCATGCAGTGCTAGTGCTCTATTAGTCCTGAGCACAGAGCAGCTCTTCTCAAATGCTAACACGTATCATTTAACAGCTTCTACTGACCAAGGATATTTCAACCACACTGTACTATAAAATAAATTTTTTCTGTTAAAATTAAAGTGAAAGGTGAATATTTATGTGTACTACTTCGAAGCCAGAGATTTTTCTTCAAACTTGCTGAAACCTGAAAAATTGCACGTTGGCCAGTGCAAAAAGCCAGTGATGAACAGGGTGTATATTCATTGTTGGTATCAGCACGTTCGAGTGGGTCTTGGAACCACAACGGATCTAGTGGCATTTAGTGACACCTAGTGGCCCATTCTCGCACATGAAAAGTACATAGGAACGGGAGAAAAAACATTGTTCTCTATGTGCATCAAACCCAGATGTCTGGGAACAGATTTCAGTGCCCTCAGAAATCACGGTAGAGAAATACACGATGCATAGCTTTGGGGAGGGGACGAGACCTGGCTGAGTCAGGACTTTCGGCATAAAAGTGCTGACAATTGCTTCATGTCTTAAGGGGTACACAACAGGGTACTTTATGGGGATCTAGTGGCTCTCATAACGTTTACAATGTTTTTCTGATCTTTTTTTTCCCACGCCCTTTTCCCAACTTGACATAATCTTCTGACGGTGTCCAACTTAGGTTTCATTCACTCTAAAAATACACCTTACCTGCCTAAGGAAGGGGTCTTTTCCAGCAGGTGTCACTGTGAAGTAATAAATGCAAAATCCACCCCCACCGGCGGTGTCAGGAGCCGGCAGGGCAGCAAGATTTGAGAGCCTTCAGCAGCAAGCTCTGTGCTAAAACCAAACCCTGAAACAGAGGATGCCATTAAGTCTCGGGGAAGGAAGCCACGGTTTTGCCTAGTGTTCGATGGAGGGCTGTAGGACACACCCATCCTCCTGCAGCTGGACAGCACGCCCCTGCCTGAGATGCCCTTGGGTTGAGCCACCAGCATCTCAGCAGTGGCAGAGCACTGACTTTTGAATGTCTGAAGCCTTTTACATGGCAAACTCTTGCAGCCACAGGGAGCTGAGTCTATATTTTCTACTTCGGTCTTCATGAAGGCCTTTATTTCTTTTATCTGTAGAACAGGGCTGGTTTTCAGGAGCTGGTTTTCAGAAGCCAGTTAAAACCATGGATGCATGTGCCTGACTAGGACTGGCTTTAGGGAGTCAGATTTGAAAATGACATTGTCACTTTTTAATTTGGTTGTAATCAAATTTTAAAACTTTGTTGTCAGCAGGACTCCAGCTAAGTTTTGTTAGCTATTTTAAATCTCCCCACTGATTTTGCATTTTTCCTGTTACTAACAATTTGATATCAGTGTGTCTGGGAAATCAGCTAATTCATCTGCACTTTTATGAGCAGTTCAATTATATCACTTATTTCATTACTGTTATACAAAATGTACCATGAGTAGACCTAGACATAGAAATGGATGAGGAAGTTTTTTAGCAGCATTTATTTCTCAGAAAAAATATTAAATATTAATGACATTTTGCAAAACTGCACCACCTGTGATGAACCGTCCTTTTATAAGAGACCAAAGGACAGGAGCTCAGAAACTGACAGCATCTGAAAGCTGATGAGAGGACACCCTGCTTGTCTCTGCATGAGTACTCTACTCCTCCAGACCATGCTTGTCTCTGGTTCTTGACTGTTGCCTTTCAGAGTGCCAGGACAATAAAGCTCCACTATACTGGAGATTTTATTTTATTCTCTTTCAAGAAACGATTTTCAAATAGTTGTCAGAGAAAGGGGATTTTAATTGCTTTTTTTTCCTACTAAAAAAAAAAAAAAAAAAACCACCTAAAAAACCCAAAATCTATCTTCAAGAATCTTAACCTACTTAGCTTGTCCATGACTGTTAGCATTATTGGAGTGTAGGGGTTACACAAACAAGTCTTTTGCAGATAAGTTCTCATCAGCACATACTGTTAAATGTAACCTGATTATTCTCAAAGCCTCTGATTCCCACTATAGTGGGAAATGCTGATATTTATTGGCATTAATTAAGATCACACACCTTCATTGTTCAGCTCTCTGAAAAGGTATTTTCAAACAGCAGTGTTCTGTTTTGTCAGTAATTTAGAAATGGCCTGGTAGATTTTGCCCTGTTGTCTTAATTTAATTTAGAAAAAGAAAAGTTTCTTGGTACAATTTGGAAGTTTGAAGATGTTGTGAATTTCTGCCTTGTACCCCACAAAAACATTTTTGCAAAGACAACACTGTCTCCATGGAGACCTTAAAAAGGTATTTCAAATCAAGTGTCAGCTTTAAATTTTGCTATTTAAAGCATGCAATGTGACATGAGAGAACATATTTCTGAGTGTGACTTTTGTCTTTTGATCTCTGAAGATAAACTTCCTTGAGGTGAGCAGATTACCAAGCACAGGACACAAATTAATTGCTTGTAGTCTGCATTATAATTTTCACTTTTTAAATTACTTTTAATGAAAAAACCCCTTTCCCTTAAAAAAGTTGTAATAAAGTAGCATAAATAAATGTGACCTTTCTTGGACTTTTCCCTCCATTAACTGCTTCTTTTCTTGGGCAAAACTTATCCAGTACCATGAGTGAGAACGTGATTATATAAAGATGTACGAAGCCTACACAACACTACTCAGAAACTTATCAAAGTTTCAGATCTGTGATGTATATGTTATTTTCTTCTTACTCTTCATGACTCAGAAACTCAGTTAAGTAAAAATATTTTAATGTATTTGTGTCTCAGTGAAACATTAACATGTTTAAGAGATCTTCACCTAACTTAAATTCATGTTTTATATGGAAAATTTATGGAGGAGGAGACAGAGGGACAAGGTTTTCTGCTACCTGCAGAAGGGCTCACAGAGACATGCTGATTCCAGCTTCAGCTGGAGAGCAGGAACCCCAGCTGTGCAACTAGCATGTGTGGTTCTTGTAGCACAGCTTGGACCCAGCTGATGATACTCTATTCCATTCATCTTGCCATACACAGGACCATGGACATTGTTTGAATTATACTTGATTTGAAAACCAATAGTTGCCTACTCATTGAAAAATTCTAGGTAATTTGGTAACCACTCAAGAAAGATCGTGAGGAACTGAGGAAAACAGAAAACAGAGTGATTGAGAGCCAGTATGGAATGTTAGATATGTCAGACTTTTCATTCCACTAGCTGTCCATGTTACAGATTAAGAAGAAAAAGTTCTAAAGACTAGTCCATCTCATAAAATTCTTGAGTTGTCAATGCATCTTGTGTTATGCTTTTGCGATGTAATTTGCAACGTAGCATAATAAAATTAAAGAAATCCAGACCCTCTTTATTGAGATGTGCAATGAAATGTTTATGTCAAAATCTCTTTTATGTTATAAAATGTCTTTGTTGTGTCTTGCAAGGCTCTGAGATGTTATTAAACATGTTGTGGATGGCTACTGCCCTAGTCACTCAAAAGACATAAACACAGCTGCGTCTTCCAAGATCAAATTCCCTTGTAATGAATACTGGGAAGAAAGGTGAATCATTATATTTCTTCATAATTCTTCCTCTAAATCGTTATAAAAAGGAAAAACAAACTAGAAACTCAGGCTTTTTTCCAATTATGTCACAGAGACAAACAGTTCTGGTATAGCCTTCTGTAAGGAGTAATGTGAATAAGAAACAATCAATTTTAAGTTGGAGCCTTACAAATTTACAAACAGGCTGAAAGACAACTACTTCAACAGGAGTGGAGCTGATGACTCAAAGTTTCCCAACTTCTCTTCAGAACCCAAGGCAGAAGGGACAAATGAAAAAAAAAGTTGTTCTCTGTTACAGTGCTGTTTCCTCCTGAAAGCTTCTTCATTTTGTTTCACTTCTAGAAAGCTGAATTAATGGCTGAGCATGGACTTAGTTCTCCAACCTCTCCTAAGACTGAAGTGATGCTAACAAAAAGTGGGGTCAAGCACGCAGGCCTTAGCTTCCCTCTTTCAGAAACAAAGAAACATTGCTTTTGAAAACCATCTCAGCTTCTCTCCACTCAGAATCAATCTGTATCACTCACATCAGAGAATAAGCTCCAGCACTGGGTGAGGCAGGGTACCACAGGGATGCTCAGATGATTAGACACTCTTTGTCAGAGACTGCTTTCTTCAGCTATCAGGCAGGCTCCCCTGTTCCTCCAGCCCGTCTCTGTGAAAAACAGGGTGGTATATAGAGATATCAGATTTCATTCACATCCTCTTACAACCACACAGTGAGAGCAAATCTCTCAAACAACTGTATCTTTAACTATAACTGTATGGCTGTCAATGACCCTGAACCACTGCAAACTGTGTTAATCCAGAGTGTAATCTCTTTGTAGTTTGTGTATATATATATCTATTCTTGCATTATTTTACAGGAAAAAAAAAAATATGTTATCCAGACATCCATGTATATCCAGTTTCTTCAGAGCATTCATAAAGAAGACCCCAACAAGAAAACTACAAGCAGGTCAGCTCACCTATTAGATCTTCCAGTGGCACTCTCTGTTACCTCAAATGTGTCTTTTACATATTTATCATATCCAGCTGAACATCGGAGTCTACATATTGACAATATATTGTTTTTTTTTACCAAGAACCTGTTTCTGAAGAGAAAACAGACCACTAAAAAAGTATTATATAAATGGATTAGATTCAAATTTCCTCCATTTCAAGGTTCCTTATCTTCTCTGCAGCTCAGGTTTACTCTTCAGCACTTCTTAATACTACTCCTGTTTTCCTCAGCTTTCTCCTATTCATACATATATATATATTAAAAAAAAAAAAAAAAAAAAAAAAGAAGCTTGCAATTGTAATTATGCAGAGCTCCATTGCTTCATGGTGCCATGAAAATTTTCCTAGAATTGTAGAATATCCCAAGTTGGAAGAGACCCACAAGGACATTCAAAAGGCTTGGAGCCCTGGCTCCAAGCAGAACCACCAGTGCAGCAGTACCAGTTCAAAACCCATGTCTGAGAGTGCAGTACAAACACTCCTTGAACTCCGGCACTTGGTGCCCTGTGCAGCCTGTTCCGAAGCCTGACCACCTTCTGGTGCACACCCTGTCCCCAGCCCCCAGCTGCCCTCCCCTGGCACAGCTCCATGCCGTTCCCTCAGGCCCTGTCGCTGTCACACAGAGCAAAGCTCAGCGCTGCCCTCCACTCCTGTGAGGAGCTGCAGCCGCCATCAGGCCTCCCCTCAGCTCCTCTGCTCTGTGCTCAGCAGGACCAGGGGCCTCATCTGCTCCTCATGTTTTCCCCTCTAGACCCTCTGCCATCTTTATAGACCTCTGTAGAAAAGTAAAATTCTCTAACTGGAGAGAGCTAAGCAGGATCTGCATTCTTCAAAATGGGAAAGTAAAGTTTGCAGAGGGCTTTTTGATAATACTGTAGTGTAAGAAAAAAGAAACTGGGTAGCTTTGCTTGAAGTGCTTGGTTTTTTATCAAAGATGTCACTTGATTGTATATTATTATGCTCATTATTTTTTAAAAACCAGAACAGACCTACTTTCAGAGGGCAGTGAGGCACTGGCACAAGCTGCCCGGAGAAGCTGTGGATGCCCACCCTGGAGGATTTAAGACTGCGTTGGTTGGGCCCCAGGCAGCCTGAGTTGGTGGGTAGCCACCCTGTACATGGAAGTGGGTTGGAACTTGATGACCTTCTGACCCAAGCCATTCTGCAATTCTACGATTCTATGTTTTACGATTCTATGATTCCATGATTTTATAAGCATCATAACCATGTCTGCACCTTCGTTAAAGTGCTGTGACATGTGCACCGTATGTGCTTCAGCATTAAACAAAGCCTCCTCACTGTGCTGGGATGTCCGAACATTCAGAAAACCTGTCACATTCTGTGACCTATCACTTATCCACACCTCATCAACTCAGAAATGAAAACTTGGCCCCCTGCGATCAGCAGACTTCACCGTGATAACTCCCCTGGCAAAAGGCAGATAAAATAGGGACAAAGCCAGAAACAGCCTAAGAGATCTTTCTTCTTCTATTTCTGCTATTTCTATTTTCTGCTATTTCATAAATAGAAAAATAACAGAGAATCAGAATACACAGAGACAAGCTAATGAGATAATCAGGAAAATGAAGTACTTTTCACATGATAATAGTCCTGGAAAGAATGAGTTCTTGAAGTTAGGAAAATACAGACTGATAGTGTGAAGTAGGAAAGAAAATGTTTAAAGTGTGTTCACTGAAAAATGTACAACTGTAATTCAGACAGGAATAAATACAAGGCTAGAAGCTAGAAAGAAATCTCACCAGACATTTCTAAATTTAGGAACAGCCTCTGTTATGAGTGGAGAGAACCAAAAAACAATTTTTAAGATGGAATGATTTCAGTTCATGACGGAGATTGCAAGAAGTGGTTACCTATGAGAGTAGGGCATTAAATTCAGGGAGTCACAACCTCTCTGGCATTCCTATGTCAATGGCAGTAAAACTAAGCTGGAAGAAAAGATTATTATCAGAATTCACACTGCACTAGAAGAAAGCCAAGAATTCCACAAGTCTATAGAGCTTGTGGTCAGAACTCTAATTCACAAGGGGCCATAATCTGATACTCAATATTTATGTTTAAGAGGCTCAAATGAGATGTGACTAACTATACACCAATCTTTGCTCGAGTGATTTTTCTGAATTAGCAACGATATGAAGCAGAGTAATCTAGATGGGGAGATACAAAATAGTCCATGCCAGGATGTTCTAAAGCATGGTAGTTAGTCCCATAATAAAAGCCCTTTGTCAAGATAAGTCCAACCAATTGCACCTCCTGCGTAACTGTTGCAACCATGGATATGAAGAAAAATAAAAACCATGACATTATTTCATCAGTTTGGAAAACTTAATCCCTCCCTGACTTTCTGTTCTGTACAAAAAATAGCAAAAAAACATTTTGTGAATTATTTTGGTATCACCAAAGAAAATTAAAGAACAAACAAAACAAAATGAAACAAACAAAACAACAGAAGCATAGCAAATGATACACAGCACAACTGCTCACCACTAGCCAACTGATGCCCAGTGAGCCTCCAAGCAAAACCAGGTCTCTCAGCCAGTTCCCCGACTTACTCTTCAGCACAACACCACATAGTACTGGACATTCCTTTGGCCAATTTAGGTCAGCTGTCCTGGTCATGCCCCCTCCCAGCAATTGTGCAGCCCCAGATCCCTCACGGGCAGGGCAGCACAAGAAGCTGAGATGTCCCTGGCTCTGTGCAGCACTGTACTGCAATAACTGAAACATCAGAGAGTTTTCAGCGCTATTTTCATCACAAGTCCAAAACACAGGACTATATGAACTGCTGTGAAGAAAATTAGTTCTATCCCAACCAAGAAGAGCAGTAAGACGCAATGAAAGGTGATCTAGAAAGGTCTTGTTTCTAATTCAAATCAAAATACTTAAGGCATTGCCTCTGAACACAGCTCAGCCAGCTTATGCCTACTGAATGTTGTTTTCCTATCACTGGTCTGAAATATGGCATGGAAGATTTCTTCCAATTAATCAGGAAACAAAACTGCAGCACTAGCTGTGATGCTGCAGTAAATTGAAAATGCTTGTCTCATCTGATTGTGTTGCCTCAATTCTTATAAATATTCCTTCTGACACACCAGACAAAACTCTGCATTTGTATTTAAGGAGATTGGGCATCACAGTGGTGACACCATACATCTACTCTGTACAAGTAGAATTTACTTCACTTTTGGTCTGAATAAAATCTATTTAGTTTTCTTCTTTTCCTTTCTTCCAAGGAATCTTCATCTAGATATAAAAATTGCTGGTTCTCCCATAATCCACATTCGCTGTTCTGTTTATTTACGCTTCATCTATTTTCAGGGGTTTTTAAACCTCTTGGAAAGATCTCTTTGAAGGTTCAGCTAACGCGTTAGGGTGAGCAGTGTGATTTCCATGAAGATAGCATAAAGCTCTTTGATTGATAAACTATTTCACAATGTAACTTGAACTTGAAAGGATGAAACAGAGTGTGTTGGAGACTCCCTATCACAGCGAGTTTCCCCCAGGGGTGTGGCCAAGGGCTGAGTGGGATTTTTTTCAAAGGCCATATCAGAATTGCTTTTTGAACTCAGACATTGATGTTCTCTGGCAAAAAGTAGTCTGCAACAGCCTTTCAAATCTTTTGCAGACTTGCACATCTACTTTTTGGAAGCAGTTATGTAAGAAATAACTTGTGAGTGTAGATCTTTTTTAGGTGCATAGAAGAATGATTCAGGACTTCAACATGTAGTAATAATGGGACAAAATCAAGTTTGAATTTTTTATGATATTGAATTTGTTGCAATATGCACAAAACAGGTCAACTGTATCCAATATAGACTTTTTTTTTTTTTTTTTCCCCCCAATAGATAAACAGAAAGCCAATTGAAGCAAAAATACACACACTCAACCAGAAGAAAATGAAGACCTCAACTGCCTGCACTTCAGAAAAGGTAAGACTTCAAATACAAGTGAGATATTCCTTTGCTGGTGCAATCCATTTTCAGTCTACATTCTGCTTCAGTTGCCTACCAGACTCTGCATGTGCTTTAATGAGCTTGCCTGTTCCACATTATCCAAACTGCCTTAGAATGTATTTAGGACTCTGAGTACACAAGATTACAGGTCTCTTCTGTTTTGTTAGCATTCAGGAGCACAAGGCCTGCTTGAAAAATGGACTCTGAAGCTCACAGGCTGCCTCATTCACCTTTGATGTGTTCCACAGGTATAAAGCAGGACAAAGGGGCTGGCAAGATATTCATCACCGTGCTTGTGCATCTTTGGAGCTTCTTTTTGCTTTGGAGTGTAACAGCCAACAGGTGAAGTTGGGTAGAGCAAAAAGATTTTCCTTTGTTTTTTCTATTAATTTACTTGATGCAGTCCAGGCTAAGTGGAAGAGCTTAATATTGCATACAGAGGATAAACACAGGTTGATAACCTGCATTGTCTTTTACTGCAGAATTTAAATAAGCAAATAAAGAAAAACATTGAGAGAAATGCTTAACCGCATCTATGGACTGAGAAACCATTTAATTCGCAGGAGAAGCGAAGAGAAGAACCCTTACTGTGATTTTAAGCTTATCACTGAAGATGGCATAATTCAACCTGTTCTGAATAGCAGAAAAATTTAAGGCATATACAATTCTGACTGAAACCCATGCAAGAAAAAGAGCTAAAATATTAAACACTTGAAAAAGCAGTCCGATGCAAAAGGTATTTCATAAATAATAGCTCAGTTTCTGTTAAACATCAAAAGGCTACTACGGCAACTGTATACCTGACCTATAATTAATAACAGGTTCCTATTCCCATGGCAAACACTGGTTTATAAAATTCTGTCCTTTGTTTTGATTGGCAGTGTGATCTCTGCACTTCTACCTGTTGATCTATTTTTTCTTTAAATGGAAGTAACATCCCTACTGAGACCTAGAGCTCCAGCAATCATCACATGGTCTTGCTTCTCTTTACCCCTGACCCTGCTGGCTACACTATTTCACTTATACAAGACAGGATGCCATGGGCCTCCTTGGCCATCTGTGCACTTTTATTTTACTCTGAAACTAGAACTCTGCAATCAAAAAAACTCTACTATCAAAATCTCTCCATCTACGACCTGTGTTACCTCTTTGTCAGTTTTTCCTTACTGCTAATGAATTACCACTATCCTCTTTCTGTTCTTTGTGAGAAGTGCTGTCAAGGCAGATATTTGGATTTCTCAGGTAAGAGAGATTTTAATTTTGCATGCATGTCTGTCTACTTCCCTTCATCATTTTGGAACATGCTCCCAAGCCCATACAATCACATTACTAGGAAACTCCCTGTAACACCCAGTAGAATTGAATGCTCATTTGTGTTTCATGAACGTACACTTCAGAAAATCTGATAAGATATTGCTGGTGCAATTAGTCACACACTGCCACTGTACAGCAGGCTCAGAACCACGTCCATATCTTTCTTTTTAAACAAGTGATTCATTTTAAACAGGTATTGATAGCAATATATATATATTGGTATTTAATATTCTACTTGAAATACATTATGTTTGTCAAGACAATTTAAAAATTTGCCTATCACCAGGTAGGTCTGAATCCAGTCTCTGCTTGCAGCTGTCTAAACACAGAGGGGAAATTTCCCTAGAGTACTGAAATTTTCTGAAAATTTCCCTTTACAGTGTTAGCAGCAACTCCTATGCTAGTTCTGATGGCTTCTGTGCCTAGAGTTATTTTAAATGTTCTATCATCAGATTTCACAGACGTGGAACTTGTAGTCACACCTGGTGTGTGATTTTTATCTACAGTAAAGCTCCCAGGGCTGCTACCAACAACGAAGATACAGCATCTTTGCAGTGCTGATGTTATTTTGAGTGGGAAAAGAAGGCAGAAAGAGAAGACAAGCAGGGTCTGCTGCTACTATTATTTCTGCAGTATCCAAACATTCATGTTAGAGTAAGTCACAAACTTTGCTTTACTTTTGATATCAGTATTTCCAATTCACATTGATATTTAGCCTAGACCTTCGAAGATGCTTAAATCACCTACCTAAGTTTGCCCTGCTGATATCTTATACACATTTAAGAATCATGTTGTTACTTCTTGCAAACAGCAAGGGTAAAAGTTTCTACTTTTCATAAGCATGAAGTTAGGATTTTGTAAATATATTTAATAAACAGAAGCTTGAAAGTCTAGCACATTAACAAGCAGGTTATTTGTATTCAACCAATGCAATTACAGCTAGTGGACTGAAAGGAAGTTAGAAAAGGAAGTGTAAAGAATAGACTATAGATAGTGTAATGTTGATAGTAATCATTATGCTTCTTTTCAGAGAAGATGAAGAACTCTCTGCTTGCAGCTATCATTTTATTTGTAGCAGGTGAGTTTTCATTTGATGCATGATTTACTACTGTTTATATGTAGTGAAAATTCTAAAGATTACTCAAAGACAAGGATGTATGATTTAAATCATTAGTGGATTAAAGACTCTGGGTAGAAGAAACTACAATTAGTAAAAGATTTCCCTATTTATTTTACAGTTGTCTTGTTAAATGTATTCTTTTTTATTCCTTAGATTCCTGTAACTATTTAAGCTGGGATTTTCCATTTTGCAAGCAGCTTTCAGGTGCGTAAACATTTCTCACACGATGACTATTTAATGACAAAGATGGAGATCTTTGCTGATGGAAATATACCAGCTGAAGTGACTGCATTTGAAATATGGCATAGGGCTTTTTGGTTGAAATTCAGAATGTAGAAGCTGTGAATTTCTTACTGTTTCCCAAGACCTCACTCCCTATTGCAGGGCTGAAGGCACAGGGTCTATTTCTGTTTCTTGTTTCTGGGGGCCTCCTAGTGGCCTTCTCAAAAGACAATAAAATCTGTACCGTTTATATTAACAAACTTTTATGGTTTAGATTTAATTAATACACTACTGTCAATGGCAAAATGGATCATTCAAATATGTATCAATAGAGAGCATGGTGGTCATGTGGAATTTATTGTAGGCAGAAATAATCCTACTTGCTAAGAGCCACAGCAGGGAAGGTACATTTTCTAGTACATAGTACTGGATGAGATATCATAGTAAGACTATTTATCTGAAACTAACCATGCATTATTTTCTAAGCCTTGCTGTTATCCCACTGGACTAAATTCAAAGTGCTACTGAGAATACCAGACAAATAAGAACAAAATTCTAGAGTGGAAAAACTATGCCTCATCTGCCTGCCTGGCTGTTTCTTTGTTTTAAAAAGGAAATTAGATTGTGCTATCTTTGGTACAGGAAAAGTTTTCTCTTTGTACACCTTGTACAGGCCTAAAAATATTGCAAGGTATAGAGGAACTAACAATACATATGTTCTTTCAGGGAAAGCAGTACAGTAAAACTAAAAATGAACAGGATAAAACTGAATGTGCATAAGTACACTAAATCTCCCAATTGTAGGACAATTGAAAACATGGTAATAAGGTATTGTCAGCTGAAGAGTGTAATACAGGACTTGAGTATATGGGCTGGGGCAGTAGGTGTGGGGTAAGCTAATAGAGAGTTTCCATGCATAAAAACTACTCTGCTACTATTTTGCCTTGACTATTTTTAAACTCTCTCATAGAGGAAAAAAAAAATCTGGTAAAATCAAGAGCATGAAGAACAACACAAGCCCTTTCTTTTCTTAAAGCAGACAGGTCTGCAACAGTGTGGTCACCACTTGGATCTCAGTTAATAGAAATTATCTGGGAAGAGGTTAACAGAAATTTTGTAGAAGGGTGAAGAGATTTCCATTAGATTTCACCTCAACAACCTCTCCAGAACTATTATTTCACATGGTTTCAAGAGTAGCATATTACAAACATACTGACAAAAAGTGTTAGAGAAGTTCCAAAAAGGTTTATTTTCCAGGTGTTTCTTTAAAAGAAAATAAGAATTACCAAACCAAAGAAAGGCTCAATTCAGAGTAAAAGAAGAGGAGAATATGAGAGCAGTTGCTCCTTTTCCCAATTCTTAGAGTACCATGTAGAGGATGCAAGTGAGCAAGATTTGGTTTGGTGGCTGGACTAGAAAGCAAAGAATTCCATAATTATTTATGTTGCTGTAGAAACAAGCAAGACCTGATCTCAGCCTTTCGAAAAGGAATCTGCAAATGCCTATAAACTAATGCATCAAAATTGTGCATTGGAAATGCACGTTTCTTCTGGTAGGAGAAAGAGGTTTTGTGGAATGGTGGTCTTAAGTCAGAGCTATACTGACATATTTTCTCATCTAAATCTGCTGTTAATTTAAATATATAACTGACATCTAAACAATGGAGAAAATTCCAAGGATAGCTTGTCTCTCAGGTTATATGAAGAGATCACTCTGAATATGGAAAAGAGGAAGACCAATCTTTTATCACATAACTTGGGTAAATTTGATAACTGATCTATAACACTAATTCCAGAGACATATATTTACTTACTGAATATCAAACATTTCCTGCTTAATATTGATGAATTTATTGGCATCTGATTAAACCTACTAAATACAAGAATAACAGGGTCCTATTCATTATGGACAAAAAAAGCTACATTGAATATCCAATGTATTTTGAGATCTTTATCTACTTTTCTAAAAGAAAAGGAAAAGGAAAAGGAAAAGGAAAAGGAAAAGGAAAAGGAAAAGGAAAAGGAAAAGGAAAAGGAAAAGGAAAAGGAAAAGGAAAAGGAAAAGGAAAAGGAAAGGAAAAGAAAAGAAAAGAAAAGAAAAGAAAAGAAAAGAAAAGAAAAGA